TCTTTGTGCGTCTCTTTTATGTGCTGTTTTAGTTTTGATCTACATTTTTTGGATAAAACAAAACAATTAGTCACCATCGTGCCTTCAATTAATCTTTTTTCACTATTTGCCTTTTAAGAAACTTCTTATCGCAGTTATCAATAGTGCAACTCATCTGCGAGCCTTTTGGGTCGAGTCCTTCACTTGCAGCAGCGACCATTTCATCAATTAATTTATCTTTCGGGTGCACATTTCGACAATGTCGAGTGAGGTACTTGCGCGTTTTAAACTTTTTCGTGCACACTTTGCAGGTCAGATACTCCTCTTTGTGCTCCTCGCGAATGTGCTGCTTCAGTCGATAGCTGGATTGGAGAGGCACGTTAGTCGGTCAGCTAACACAATCACAAGATTGGCAGGAAAAAAAACTTACTCGCTCTGGAACTCCTTCGAGCAGATGTGCAGGGCGCACTTGTACATAGGACCGGCGTGAATGTCAGTCAGGTGCAAGTTCAGGTCGTCCTTGGTGTCGAAGAAGCTGCCGCAGCCGTCCTCCGAGCACTTGACGATGTGCCTCACGTGTCGACGCTCCTCGTGCGCCTTAACCTGCGTCAGTGATTTGCTCTTGAAGCGACAGCCCTCGTATGAGCACCAGTACTCCACCTGAAGTAGATCGTTCTCCACGTGCATCGCCGACTCGCCATTGCTGTCCTCAGTGCCGCTCAGCTCGGCTGCCACCGTGATCTCCTTTCGCTGCACTGCCGACTCCTCTTCATCAGTCTCCTTGGCCTGGTACTTTCGGCTCGGACCTGTCCGGGTCGAGCTCCTCTTCAGACCACTCGTTGAAGCCTGTTGAGCGTTGGCGAACTCCTTTGAGGAACTCGCTTGTGGTTCACTTGCACTGGTCGTTGGAAGTAAACCCAACAGACTGGCGTATAACTTGCTAGATTCACTATCGCTATTGTTTGCAGCATTTTCAACAGCAGTGTTGCACTCTTCATTTGTTTGCATGTCCTCGAAATTAAATTCAGTTGATTGGCTTTGATTGTTGGTCATTAATCTTGAGGTATCACTGTTATCACCACCTCTGGTATAGGAGTTATTTTGCCTATCGATTTCATCATTGCTGCTAAAAGTACACGCTTCATTTAGATGATGCTGAGTTAGGCCAATCAAATCATCGTGCTCTTCAGTGATGAGAGTGTCAATCAGGTTAGAATCGATANACACGCTTCATTTAGATGATGCTGAGTTAGGCCAATCAAATCATCGTGCTCTTCAGTGATGAGAGTGTCAATCAGGTTAGAATCGATAGGATCAGCTTCCAGGGCAGTGCTTTGATTGTCAAGATTTAAAGATTTTTCATTTGAAATGAACTGTCCTCCCTTAAAAGAGCAGTACGATTCAAACTTTGACTCATAGTGTTCTTCTTTTTCCCTAATTAGGTCAACAAAAATGCAATTTTCTGCAAATTGATTGAACTTGCTGAAACAAACTTGCAAGTCCGCCTGAAAGTCTGGAGCAGCGTTCTTCAGCGTCAGTTTGAGTACATCTACTGACAAGTTTTTATGCAAAAAATTCAGCATATATTTGCAGTGCAGTAGTATAGTTACAAGCTGCTTCAACTGATCCACACTTCCGATCAGCTTCTGACTTTCATCATCACTACCACCGAAGATTTTGTAATGGCTATTTTTTGGGTAAAAAGCGTTGCTTGAGTCGGACATTGTTGTTTGTAACACTTGTGGTGTCTAATGACCTAAATAGACAAGGTTTTAAACTTCAAGTCTAGAAAGACTGTTATTTACCTTTAGAAATAATTTCACAAAACAAACATACAGCTAAAATCGCAATTTTCAATTGTAATTTTGGTTCTTTGGCGCTTCGTTTGGCGTTCATTTCATTATTTAGCAACTCCCAGGGGCGTATGAAGTGAAAAGGATGTTAATTTCTAAAGTTAAAAACAGCCAATTCTTGATTTGTTTTGATGTCCGATCACACGAAATAACAA